CGAGCGGTGCAGCCGGGGGCCGCGGGGTCGCGGGTCTCGCGGCGCCGCTGCTCAGGGGGTCGCACGAGCCTCGAGCGGTGCAGCCGGGGGCCGCGGGGGCCGCGGAGCCGCTGTACTGGGAGGCACACGAGCCTCAAGCGGTGCGCCGACACCTCTAATGACGTCAAGCAGTACCTGCAGGCGGGCTCTCAATCAAACGGAACATGCTCAGTAGCCCACTTCAAATAGATACAGTCGCTACCAGCTGCGTGCTGACTCGTTCTCAATCACAGGGCAGATGTTTAACAGGCCTAAGTCGATTTGCAGCAGCGCAGCACGGCTAGGCTTTCGCCCCGCCGATAATATGAAATCTATATCATGCCTCATTCTAGGAAGAGTTCACTAGTTTTTAATTTGAATGTATATCTGCATCCAAATGGGCTATAGGGCTATGTGCGGCTATATATGTACCGCTGAATATTATGTTATATAGGTACCGTTTAATGTGGGCTATGGGCTTTATGTGTACGGTTAAATGGTCAAATCATGCACGGTGTGTGAGAAAAACAATTGTGGGACCAATGCTACAGAAAAGTAGTACCACGTACAAAACCACAGGAAATGCTGCTAACCGATACATTTGTATGATGATGAGAAATACATCTGTAAAAGACATTAATCGTGAGTCGCTATTTCGGCTTCAAATTCCGAGCTTTGTAACCGAATTGAAGAAAGACAATTCACCTCCGCACAAATGTACCGTCGCTGAAAAAAACCTTCAGGACTCTTTTGACGACCACAGTCCGTCTGAGCTTCCCGGACCGTGGCGTGCGAACCGCAGCTGTCGTTCAACGTCCAATGTATGGCCATCGACGTTCTGCTAAGGCTGCTGTCGAAGAGGAGGCATAAACTAGACACGCAATGTTCGCTGTCACGCAATGTGGTGCGGCACGGTACCGACATGGATACAAGCATACATCGGGCACGGTCTGGCTGGTACCGACGCTGAGGCCCGCTTCAATGTGTCAGAACGGCCCTGGTGTCCCGACAGCGGCCTGTTGTAGCATTGCCAGCCCGTACACCACTTCAGCGACTGGTGTCGATATGGGCGCCAGCTGCCGGACCCGGCACTGGACAAGGCATCGATAGGCAGAGTTCCCTGAGAATTCTTGACATTGAAACCTGTCTAAATTGAGCGTGTGTTTACCTCCGTAATAGCTCCAGTCCCCGGCTGCTGAGTGGGTGCTCTACAGATAAAACCGTAGAAATTTGGTCGGGCGCTGCGGCCAGCTCGCGTCTCCAGCTCTCTCCTGTCACGACCGCCTACAGATGTTCATGGGGTATGGAGGGAACAGCTGGCGTGTTTTGCAAGGCAGCAGCCACGAATAAGAACACGGCCCACGTGGTCTTGGGGGACGAGGAAAAAGCAAGTCAGGAGACGTGACACCTGGACCACGCGCTGCATCGCACCGCTGATATCTGGGGTCCTCTCATAAGGAAATAGCAACACCATGGAGAAGTCACACGACACGGTAAGGCAACGTGATTACCAATCGCTGGTGATGGAATTGATAACATCGCTCAAAGAGCAATGAACATAAAAACAAGACAGTGAATGTACCCGGGCTTTCAGCAACACATCGGGAGCATCACTTCGGTGTCGCTTCCATGTGATTTATTCTAAGGGTTTCGCGCTACCGTTGTCCTGAACACCGTCGTTAATGTCGTGAAAGTTGCAGGAGGCTGGTTGTTTTCGTATGCGCGATTCGAATGTTGCACTCCGTGACGTCAACTGGATGGCTTTCAGTCGTAACAATGCATGTTCTTCGTGCATCGTCTTGTGCACTGGACCACAATCTTCACATCTCATGATACGTTAAAAGGCGTGCACTAAGCTGTCGTTACCTTGGAAATGTGGCCGGGTCGGTGGCTTCTCGTGACGTTGCGAGCTGCGAAGTTAATGGGATTTATGCCATGAATTGCAGCTGTGGTGGCAGCGTATAGCCTGGCAAATAGTATGTGACGTGTAAGAAACCGAGTAACTTCAGACGCACCATTGAGATATCGGTCACCCGCTTCCCCGCATGTGTCGTGATTAGCCGCTCTGCCCGCGGCAGACAGACGTAAAAAAACCTCCAGAATGAGGTGTGATGCTTTCCCGGTTCCCGGGAGTCGTAATCACGCCCGTGGCCACCTGGACTCCATCACGACCAGACGACGGCCGTGGCCACAGCAAAGACGCGGCGGCGGCGGGACTCCGCCGAAAAAAGTTTGCGTGCTCTGCTCAGAACAGTTCCAGCAGCCGGCTCCGACGTTTGTGGATGTACATGTCGGACACGACAGGTTTGATGAAAAAGGCAAACAATGCCGCACTGCATCACCCGGCAATTTTTCTCATACCGCGATGTATGAATTATATTGCATGTGATGGCTAAGAGTGAATGCCAGGACTTCAAAGGAGCCGATCGTTGCCAGGCCAGCCCAATAAGTCTACTCAGATTTGAGCCAGCACGTGCAGACAGCAGTCCTGGCTCTCCGCGTTTGAGCTCTGAGGCGGCGAGCGCTGTGCATCACAGACTTTGCGAACCGAACCTGAATTATGGGCGACCAGGTTTCCGAAAAAAATAAACGTCGTTTGCCCGTCTTACTACGAGGGAAGCGTTATGCGGCTTCAGGAGGCCGACGTCAGAGATACCGTCATGTGTCCCACATGTCCCCGGCTGATCTGATCTCTGGCCTCGCTGTAGACCTTCATGAATGATGTAAACAGCAGCAGCGGCGTATGCTAAAATGTACTTGCAAAGCTTTATTTTGGTCGCTTAAAAATAGGCCTTCAGTTTGCTGCATTTTTTTGGCGGCAGCCTAACGTTTCAATCTGCCCGCGACTGGGCGCACGGTGGGATCAGCGGCCCGCGTCCGCGCCCTGCTTGTCGACACTGCATTGCATAACGGGATAACAATGCGCGAGCCAAGCACCATGCGACCGCTGCACCTTGCAGACTGGCCGGGCACATTCCGTGTGGAGGAGTGGCAAGCTCAGCTTTCGCCCCGCTGTGAACAAACGCACGCGATTCCGAAGAGGCGAAGCGCCCCTGGTGCACGCCGCCGAGGAGCGCGGTCATGGTCTACAGAGGGGAGCGTCCTGCCCCATCAGGTGTCGGGGGGGGGGGGGGGGGGGGTGGGGGGGGGATGGACTGGGGCGTGTGCTGAACTCAGGACAAAGCTCAACATAAGTCGCAGCGGGTAATTCAACTGATTCATGCATGTAAGGCAGCCGTTCAGAAGTCGGTCGTGAAGTACCGCTTTGCACCGTGCTCTCGCCGCCCGCGCCGGCGCCGTGAGTTATGTCCGTGAGCTGACGGAGTTCGTAGTTGGGCTCATCAGGCGTCGACAGCACATGGACGATTTTTCAGGCACAACAGACGACGTAAACCGTGCTGACGAAGCTCAGTAGCTGACGTGGCGATGATGCTCATCCTCAGGTGACAACGTGGTGATGGTGCTGATACTCCGGTGACGACGTGGCGATTATGCTAAAGCTCACGTGACGACGTGGTGATGATGCTGATGTTCCGGTGACGACGTGGTGATAATTCTGATGCTTAGGTGACGATGTGGTGATGATACTGATGCTCAGGTGAACGTGATGATGATGCTGAAACCCAGGTGATGACGTGGTGATGATGTTGATGCCCAGGTGACGACATGGTATTGATACTAATGCTTAGGTGACGACGTAATGATGATAGTGGTGCTCGCGTGACGACTTGGTGATAATCCTGATGTTTATGTGACGACGTGGTGATGATGCTGATGCTCAGGCGACGACGTAGTGATGATGCTGGTACCCAGGTGACGACGTGGTGACGGTGCTGATGCTAAGGCGACGACCTAGTGATGATGCTGGTACCCAGGTGACGACGTGGTGATGGTGCTGATGCTCAGGCGACGACCTAGTGATGATGCTGGTACCCAGGTGACGACGTGGTGATGGTGCTGATGCTAAGGCGACGACCTAGTGATGATGCTGGTACCCAGGTGACGACGTGGTGATGGTGCTGATGCTCAGGCGACGACCTAGTGATGATGCTGGTACCCAGGTGACGACGTGGTGATGGTGCTGATGCTAAGGCGACGACGTGGCGATGATGTTCATGCACTTTAACGACCTGGCGATGACGCTGATGCTTAGGTGACAACGTGGTGATGATGCCGAAGCCCAGGTGATGACGTGGTGATGATGCTGATGCTCAGGTAACGATGTGGTGATGCTGCTGGGGCCATGCGATGGTGTAGATGGGACCGGCAAGGCTGAGGTGACGAGGTGGAGGTGCTGTTGAAGCCCAGACGGTGGGATTTGTGATGCTCGTGAGAATCGAGAGAGGAAGTCGACGGCGCTGTTGATGTCAAAATGGTGGGGAATGTGGTGCTGTCGCAGATGACAAGAGTGACACTGTTGATGCTCAACTTATTATGTTGGTGCCGCAGTTGATACTCAGGCGATGATGACGGTGACTTTGTTAATGCTCAGGCGATGGTGAGGGTGACTGTTGACGCTCAGGCGATGACGTGGATGATGCCGTTGGGGCTATGGTGAGAACGCAATGCTGACTCTAGTTGATGACGGAGGTGATGTTGTCGACGCCCGCAGGACGGCGCAAGCGTTATCGGGTTTGATGTTCATCAATGTAGTTGATGCTGTTGAGCTGCAAGTAATGGCTTGGCGGCGTTCATGAGGCTTTGCAACGGACGTTGGCAAAGCCTGGGACATTTCGCTGGGGGCTGGACGGCACTTACCACCCATCGTAGAGACTGTTGGTGGCGATGATGATGCATCAAAGGGCGTGGGTATTGCTGATTTTGGAGGCGCATTTGACGCCGATAAGGCGCGACAGGAGAGCGGGTGGTGGCGATGACGCATCACGGGGGAGGGGCAGTGAGCGTTCTCGTGGCGTGAAATAAGTGCACGTGCCTCACGTCTCGGGCGAAGTCGCCCTCGCCCTGCACGCGTCTCTACTCACCGGACGGGCCTGGCTGGCTGCTGCCGCCGCTGACGTCGGCCGTGTGCTGCCGCGGTCGGCGGGGACGGGGCGCAGGGCACTTGGTCACCGGCTCAGCCGGCCCGGCGGGTCACCGACTCAGCCGCGGCCATCGCTGCCGGCCGCTGGCGAGCCGCGGCCTGGCCGGCACGGGACTACCGGGGGGCGCGGCGGGGCGGCGGCGCTTCCGCCGCAGTACGGCGCGGCTGGTGAGACACCACTAGTGACGACCGCCACTGGTGACGACCGCGGCTGGCGACTGATGTGCTAGTGTGACACCAACGGTATGGCACCACTGGTGGCTGATGCTTGCCTCACTTCTCTGGTGTGGCACCGCTGACGTCCGCTTGCTGATGTGGTGCGGCACCACTGGTGACCGCCGCTGGCGTCCGTTGCGGCGCGGCCCCACTGCCGTCCGCTGGCGACTCGGCTGCGGCAGCAGCACCACACGCGGCGTGACCCCGACACCGAGGGGATGACCCCGCCCGCAACGGCGTCCGGCGACGACTGAGAGTCGGCCGGTAGCCGGGGCCGGCGGGCGGCGGCGGGCCCCGCCTCTCACCTCCCCCTCCCCCACCCCGCCCCTGCCCCGCGCCACCCCTCCCCCCGGTCCCTACCAAGCCCGACCAACGCCGGCTACTGCGGTGCGGCGTTATGCATGCGGTACGTACCGCCCAAGCGCTTCGCTCGTCGCGATTAGGCTATCTTCCGATCAGTGGGCGGAGGCAGGCAGACTGGTGAGATATTCCCGCTCGTTCCCCGGCGCCTGGCGTCTCGGTGCATTTCCGTGCCTGTACCACGTGATTGGCCGCAGCGCATGCGCGGGAGACCGTATCGGCTCTAAATTTAGGCTTATCGCCGCTGTCAGTTACTTTTAATGCACATTAACTGATGCGGGTTTGGTTTGATTTGGTTTAGATTGGACTGGAGCCTTTCAGAAAGCAACGACCTTTCAGAGCTGTGAGATGAAGGGAAATGGACGGTAGCGAGGTGAGACTGCATGCAGCTGGGGCTGTAGGTCACCGAACCTTGACAGACGCCGGAACCAAGCCTCTTCGCGGCATGTGCTGGGCGCTCGGCCGGGCTTCCAACAGCGGGCACTTAAGCCCACTCATGGCTGATGCATGCAGGTTGCCCCGCCCAAACGGACCGCTGCAGGGATGCAGGATGGAGTGTAAATGAGGAAAGAAGGGCGACTAGTGATGGGGGAAAGCCATGAAGCCATAAGCGATGACCTGTTGCCAAGCACAGTGCGAGTCGCCCTGTTTGACCACAGCTCAATGTCACGAGTACGCGGGCCTCCCGTGACATGGCAGGTGACAAAACGGCTTCCTAGCCTTTGACAAACGCAGGCGTTCAACGCTACTCACAAGCTATGCTGTGATGACTCTTGAGCCCGGCACTGACATGTGGCCTGTACTGGTCGCGGTTGGTTAATTGCCAGGGACGCCCTGCTTTTGCCACGCGGCAGACCACGCTGACCGGCCCGGGGACCCGACAGCGCTGCACGGAGGGATTCAAGGGACTACTCCACATTTGTATTGGGCTTTGAGTTGAGATAGCCAGTTTGGAAATCATATCCTGCAGTTCACAGTTATATCCCATTTAAGACTTAAAATCCCCTTTTTCTGAGCTAGGAACACGCGAACTTGTAAATACTGTTTTCGTGCCGCGCATGTTACAAGCACCCGAACATGCATGACGTCACAGAGACGTCACACGAACTCCGCCTCTTGAACGACTACACTGCGTTCAAGGTTAATGAAACATGACCATTGACTTATCTGTGTCAGGAGTGCGTCAGCATGTATCGCCGCATCAACGGGCAGCAGTTGGCTTTTAAGCAGCTGAGCGCGTTAAACACAAGTCTCAATCACGATCGGTTATTGGCTGTCTGGATTGGAGCCCAGCCGGCCAGTAATGATCATTTGAGGGCTATGGGATAAATGAGAATGGATAGCGATAGGGTAGAGCTGCATGCGCCTGGGAACACAACCACCCAGGCTTAGCCGCACCAGTGACCCCTGCGTGGGATGCGTGCTCGGGGCTCAGATGAGGGTCCCCACTTGGCTGGTGCATGCAACCTACCCCGCACAAGCGGGGCGTCGCTAGGATCCGGGATAAAGCGAGAAGAGGAAAACAGGGCGACCGTTAGATAACGAATCACGCTTTATGATACACAATACAGGCATTCGGGCAGTCCTACCGGTTATGACCGTTATGAGACTGAGAATCGAGTACCTTAAGAATAGCGCCGTAGCCGAAGATGCAAATGCAAGTAAAACATATAAAACCATGGACACATATGCAAGAACACCACGACAAAGAGCCAAAGCATATGCACATAACGCTCGAAACCTAAATCACGGATATGCCACCAACGCCACCTTGCGTCGCGTTGAAGTACCACAAATGAGTCAGTCCGTTCGCTACTGTGGTAATTCTGACGAGCAAGAATTAATCGTGCTGCGACTCTGACGCCATAAAACTTAACCACACGATTTGGGTTATCGCGGACAGTTATCTATTTTTGGGAAATGTGAAACATAATAAAAAAAGAGCGGATTGAGAACAATCATGAAAAGGATAGTCACTAATAATGATAGCGGTTGCAAGATCAGAGGCGGCCGTCCCCGATGTCGAGGAAGGCGATCGAGGTGGTTTTAAAGCGTCTTGAGGCATGCAGGGCCAGCCGTGACGCTCTTTGGAGAGTCACGACTGCCCCCCCCCCCCCTGTCACCCCCTCTGATCCTCTCGATTGCGCCACAGTGGTCCATATTGCCGTCTTATGTGTTACATCTTCTGTTGGCCCAGCTGGGCTGATGTCATCTGTCCTCGTTCTGAGTGTGCGTTTGCCTGTCCATGCATCGGCTATCTGCGTCACCAACCACTTACCGTCTGCGACAAATCACCCCGCTACATACGTACATCGGGGCTTCAAAGTCTCAGTTACCGCCTGTCCCGCCGCATGCTCTTCTAATCGTAAATCGGCTTCATTCAACAGGACACAAGTCGTATATTATTTCGCATGTTATCGATGCAGTTTGCAAATTACCTAAATGCTGTTAACACTAGCCAGTTGCCCTGCACTACCTAACCGCTCTGAAGGGCCAATTAATCTCAAACGTCCTGGCTGACCAAACCAAGTACGCAGACAGCATGCAAAGTCCACGGTCGTTCACAGCGCGAGCGAATTACGTAGGATCTCATTACTGACGCACTTTGTATTCCCCCTGTAACATTTTCGTGCATCCACATGATCTTTATAATTAAGTATGCATAACACTTGTAAGCCAGCACGCTTAAGCATTAGCTTAATGTGTATGTACCTGATCTCCCCTCCCCGGCTGTAGCTAGCAGCATTGCGCTGCCATTTCGGCTGTCGATGGTGCTGTTCATTTTATGGGCATGTAAATGGTGAACGCCACTGCAGGGATTCGAGATTCGACCCTTGAATGGCTGCATTTCGTGTCCAGGGCCCCACTTTAACCTATTCAAAACTCGGAATTCGTGCACTTCACTCCTGGCATGCATGGTGGTTTATTGCTGAAGTTATGAATGCTCGGATGTTGTGGAGGTTCGGATTTCAGCCGGGGATTTTAGTGGTTGGCAGTTTCATCTCCTGCGTACCGTTGCATGCATGCCAGCCGCTCACTCCCCACTACATTCATCTGCCGCTAAACGAAGTACGGCTCGTACGTGAGGCCAGATGTCTCTCATCCCGATGTCGAAGTGGCTCGAAGATAGCATGACATGGAGAAATGTCAATTGACTTTTAGCACGCGGAGCACATCCGGCAAAGTTCGAGCCCGCCAAGGCCATGGGGAGGGGCATAGGGTGAACGTGGTGCCTGCGGTGGTCATTTTCCTCCCGTGGAACATTCGTCAGGCCTGTACAAGGCCAGATTCGTCGGCTAGAACTCAGAACTGAACGCTGCAGCTAGCCTACAGACATAGAGGCGGTAGTCTACCAATGCTGCGCACGGGAGCCTTCCACAAACCCGGCGCCGTAGTGAGCGGCGCCGCTTTGCCCTCGACAAACACTGGCGCACGATTCAGTCACAGCCTCAGGCTATGCTCGTGCTGAGCAGCAACCGCTGGAGAACTGCATCATCGTTAACAAGTTCCTAAATCTAAGAAGTGAAAAGGAGCTGGACGACAGCCAAGTGCAAGACAGAAATAAGTGTTCACCATTGGTGCCGCCACCTTAAACGAGCGCATCGGCTGGCGTAAGGCCGGCCACTTCTCAGAATAACCGCGCGCACCTCATCTAGCGCGCCATGGCTGCGATGGAGTCACGCGCCATGACACCATGGAGTCAGCAGTCATGCTCGTAACGGACGGCGCCATGGAGTCAGCAGCCGTGCTTGTAACGGACGGCGCCATGGAGTCATGCATCATGGCACCATATAGTCAGGCAGTCGCGCTCGTAATGGACGGCGCCATGGAGTCATGCGCCATGGCGCCATATAGTCAGCAGTCGCGCCTGTGACGGACGGCGCCATGGATGTCATGCACCATGACGCCATAGAGTCAGCATCCGTGCTTGTAACGGACGGCGTCATGGAGTCATGCGCCATGGCGCCATAGAGTCAGCAGTCGTGCCTGCGACGGACGGCGCCAAGCGGGAAAGGGCTACCACATCGCTACCGCTATCAGCAAGAACCGGAAGAGGGCGAGCATCGAAGCTGCTGAGACTCCACCGGACCCGCTGGGCTGTGCGAGAGGTCGCCGTGAAGCGCTTCTGGGGCAGCTGCTCGCCAGCTGCCTGACGCTGAAGACGACGGATGGTGCCGACGCCGGCGCATCAGCTGGCAGATGGCCACGTAGCTGATGATCATCGCACAGACCGAGCTCCTCGTGGGGTCGGCAGGCATCCGACGGCTGGTAGGGGTCCTCCTGCGCCTGGCCGTGGCTCCCAAGAGAAAGCCTCTCCGTTGCTCAAACGCTTAGAGTGCCTGCCTCCCAGCCTACCGTGGCGGAATTTCACAATCGGATGATGGGATCAGGCTTCGTGTAATAGG